ACACAGGCCCCATTCTGCAGCCCTGGCTCTCTCCCTGTACCCCAAAAAGCTCTGGGGTGTCACAGGAGGGGTGGGAACCCCTCGCTGCCAGAGCCCCCCAAAATTCCCTGTCTGCTCCTCGTTCGATATCGACGTTCCCTCCTGCCCGTATTGACCCTCCTCCTGGTGTATTTTAGAGACCATTTGTCTCCCTCCTTCAATAAACCCCTGAGTGACATCCTGGGCTGGGCCGTGTCCCTGTCCTGTGTCCCCCTGCTCACCGTGTTCCCAACGATCCGTGTCGGAGCTCCTCAAACACCCCAAAACAAATGGCCTTTGGATGGCAGGGAGGCAGCGGCGCCCGCCATCGATCACTCGCTCCACCGAGCGCCTCTCACAAGGAACAAACAAATTGTTTTCCAATTTGTGGCTTTTAATGGCTCAATCTGGACCAAATGAGCCGTCAGGGTGACGGGAATGGCGGCCGCTCCCTTTGGGGGTCACGGGCTTGGCAGCACCTTGACGCAGGTTTGTGGCCAGACCTGCGGGCACTCGGCTGGGCCCTTCTCCAGGCGGACAAAGGCCGGGCTGGGGGTGGTCCCAGCCCCCCTCGCCCCTGCCCAGCTGGGTCTGCCTGTCCTGGCAGCGGATGAGGTGGTGCCTCCCTCCTGTGTTCAAGGGCAGAGCCAGCAGGGAAGAATCCAGGCTGGATGTACTCCAACAGCCCCTGCTCAGGCAGGGGCTCAGGAATTTTTGGAGCAGCATCAGAGTGTAGATTGGGCTGTGTCAGGCTGTGAGCAGGAACAGACCCCCAGTGTGAGCACCAGCCTTGGAACTGCCGGCACCTGCTCTTGGTGTGCAGGGCTTGAGGTCACCCCGAGGTACAGGCAGGGCTGGAGGTCACCCTGAGGTACAGGCAGGGCAGGAGGTCACCCTGAGGTACAGGCAGGGCTCAAGGTCACCCTGAGGTACAGGCAGGCCTCGAGGTCACCTCCCTCCTCGGTGCACTCAGTGTGTTGCACAGTTGCAGCAATTTGGTTTCCAAGAGCAAAGTCTCCCGCGGAAGCAGCAGTGAACAAACCCAGTGAACGAACCCAGTGCTCCCGTGGGAGATGGGGGTCATTGTGGCAGTGGGTGAACAGCCGTGACCTGCTGTGGGAGTGCCAGCAGCAGGTGCCCAGGGTGGTAGAGCCTCCCCCTCCTCCCCACAGCAGTTTTTGGGAAGCACAAGTGCTGGTCCTGCCCACAGGACTTACGGGAACACAAACAGCCCAAGAGCTGGTTCGAGGGTTGCTGTGCCCAGGCAGGGAATGACTCAGCACCCACCACTCCTGGGCTTTTCCCCCTGCTCAAGCAGGAGCAGCACCAGTGGAGCTCAGGTTCCCCTTCCTGCAGTGAGTCAGAGCGGGGGGACACCCCCAGACCCTCCCAGTTACACCAACCAGGCCCCTGAGCCCGTGCCCCTGCTGGGAGAGGGGAAGGTGCTTTGGCTCCAGGGAGCGATGGAACCCACCACGCACGGGCTTTTGAAAACCACTTTTATTTAAATAAGACTTTAAATACATTACATAAAACATCAGAAATTAAACCAAAGCTGTTGTTACTGCACAGGGCCTGAGGCAGCAGCTCTATGGACACAAAGCTCTGCAGCTCCAGCCACAAGGCTGCTCCTCGTGTTAGTCCAGAACTGATCCCTTGTCACAAGTTTAACCCACCTCGGGGCTCGCGGGGCCCCGAGCTGCAGCCATCCAGCCTCCACGTCACTCTTCTGCCACTCTTGTTCCAAGCCAAGCTTCCCCAGATCCCTGTGCCAGTGGGAGCCAGCACTGCCCCGAGGGACAGTGCCATGTCCCCGTGCCCCACCTGAGCTCGGGGCCCGGGCTGGGCAGGACACGATTCCCATCGTCCGGGCTGGAAGCGCAGCTGGACTGAGGAGCCATCCGGGCAGGCCGAGTCCCTGGGCTGAGCTGGGAACAGCTGGGTACCTTTGGCTCCAGGCCGGAGCTCTGGGAAATGAGGGACAGGCAGACAGGATAGCATGGGCTCGTGTCAGTTTATTACATCACCAGTTACACCAGTCCAGACTCAACAGTGGACCCAAGATCGTTACATTACACAAACCGGCTGCTTTTAAAGTTATGACAAGGGACAGGTGGGAATTTCATGGTAAGGAAATCTTCTTGCATAAAGCTCCAGAGGCCCACGGGCACTTAAAACCCGTGGACTTTCAGCTGGTCGTCTTTAGCCAGTCCAATCTGCAAGACAGAAAACGCATTTACAGCCCAGAGCGAGGCTTTTGTGCTCCCCCACACCACCCGTGCCCAGAACTGCCCCATTCACAGGGAGGGAAGGTGAGACTCCTCTGCAAACCCTGCTAGGGGGGAATTTGCCTCGATCAAGGATTAAAGCAGAAAAGAAAGAATCATCACAGAGAGGGCTACGCTGAAAGAGACTGTGAGGTTCCAACCCCCCTGCCCCAGGGCAGGGACAGAGCTGTTCTCCCTCCCACCCTGCCGTGTGTTTATTATCTAATCTCGTGTTTAATTTCACGAGCAGCAGCCCGGGGGTGTCCTACCTCCACGAGGAACTGGCAGATGTTCTTGCGCTGGTCACCCTGCAACTGAATCACTTCTCCATACTCGGGGTGCTCAATTACAGTTCCATTGCAGGCAAATTTCTGCAGCAAGGAGACAAGAAACCTCTTTAGCACCTCATAAACCTCCTCCCGCCACGCCTGGCCGCCCCCCAGCCCCTCCGCACCCACCTTCTTGAAGGCCTTCACCAGTTTCTTTTTATCGTAGTCATCCGCGATGCCCTGGACTGTGGTGAGGGTCTTCCTGCCGTTGCGCTGCTGGATCCTTATATGGATGTAGTCCTCAGTGCCGGCCGGGAGCAGGTCATCACCCTTACTTGCATCCGCAAAGGGGTCTGCGGGGCCAGATCCAAACGCGCCGTCAGGCTCCGCCCC